ACCCTTCCCCCCTCCCCTAAATGTAAAGTTCCCTCCCTTTCCACGGAAAAATAAGTCTGAAAGAAACACTATCTGCATGATTGAGATTTAGCGGCTAAAAGTAGGAAACGGGTCTAGATTATAGAAGTAGGGTCTACTTTTAGTATGTATAATCTACAAATGCGACCAGTGTTTAATTCAGACTTTTGCCTTCGCGGTGTGGGAGGTAATTTAAATTTTAGGGGTGGGGCTGACTACATTTTCTGGTCAATAGACCAACACAGGTAAAAGTATGTTTTCTATATAACTTCTATTTCGTTGAAGGGAACGGTAGACGTGAGTCGCCTAAAAGAATCTCTAACAGCTACTTTTGTCATGTTAAGCTAAGTTGCTAGGTTTAAGAGTATGACTACGACTATATGTAGTATCAGTGTGCAGTAACTACGTGGTGATCAAGCTTAAAAATCCGTTTTCAATAACTTTTTTTCTCTCCGGTTAAATTTGAAGTTGAGGTGGTGATTTCGGTTTTGGTTTTGAGAAAACGACAACACTATCAACCTAGCGCCCGTTGCATTTCTCTCTCAAACGGGCATGTATCTCGTATTTAACAGTTAATGGAAAAGAAAAAATTCCGAAAAAGTTTCAACTTATCGTGCATTGATGAAATTAAATGACATTTTCTTAACTAATTTTCGAAACATTCCTTGGACAAGCTCATTTTAACGCCAATGAGAAAAATTGACGTGGAAGGCGTGTCCAAAAATAGCAAAATTAAGCTAAAGTAACAAAACATATGGTAGCTTTTAGGTTAAATTATGTTCAGTGAAGTTTAATTTCCGTTAAATTTAGGGATAAACTGTAGTGTTAAGATTGTAAGGAGTGACTGAGTTAAAAATGATTGAAAGAGGATAGCATTAAATAGTGAGTAAGTGAACAAAGTGAGGCTGATCAGAATATCCTGTTCAAACCTCTATTGGGCCGTCACCACCGCTAGCATCTTCCGTAAGCTCAAAGCAGCTAATTTTTAAAAGTAAATACACTTCAAAAAAGAAATTTATTTCATTTTATTCATGAATTAATACACTATTCTTCATTCAAAATAACGTAACAAAAAAGCTGGGGTGACCTATTGGGAGCAGGAACGGAACACATTAATAGCAATTTCATTAATTTTAATGGAGAAAATAACATAAGGATCGGGGAATGTGACATAGAAGTAATATCACGGAACAAATTAAACTCGTATCTCGATGTACCACTGTACAGTTAGTCGGGTAAGTAGTGAACTTTCGATTAGCGCAAGAAAGATACTGCATGCTCATTCTACCGACCAGCCGGCTTAACGATCGACTGACCAACCGACCGAAGGACCGACCGACCAGACAGAAAATACAATAGTTTAGCACCGCCAGAAGAACTCAATTGATATTTATAGATAAGATAAAGCAAGTTCATTATAAAGGCATTTTTTGAGATCTACTGTCTTTCAAGACTACATGGTGGATACATAAGCAATAGGAAAATTACTCTTAAGAATTTTAGTAAAAGATTAAATATTTCAGATGTTAAATTTTATAGATATTTAATAGGTTCCTGGCTGGTTGGACGGACTCATGGTTCCCAAAGAGTTGAGGGAGAGATTTTCTCCAGAGGCGAAATCTGTAACACAACCAAAAGTATCACTCTGCTGTCAAATGGCTCTCTCTCTCTCTGAATCTGACTTGTTGACTTGTGCAGGTGATGTTAATTTGCATTTATCTGACACGTCGCTTATATCTAAAGCTGGTTATCGTACAATCACTTCTGTGTCAATTTTCTCGTGCATATAACTGTATATATCATCTCTGTTTTTCTTAATGTTAAAATCTAACATATGTTTATATTTATTAATACTGTTTTGCTTAATGCACAACTACAATAGGTAACTCAAACGAAACTGCTGAAGCAATAACAACACAACAATTACAAATGCTAATTGATTGCAATATATACAAAACTACGGACAGAACAAAATACAAAGCATGCATACAGTAAGTAGATTTTGTTTTGCTTCCAATATAAATGGTACCAAACACTACTAAATGGAAATAATCTCATATTAATATCTGGAAATAAGATTTTTAATTAAACTGATTTTTGTTTTGCACAAAATCATTTACCACATGGCAAAAAAAGTTATTTAAGAAATAGTCTCAGCAGTTTTATTTCTGTAAATTCATAACATGCTAACTGGTTCGACAACAACCACGACCACAGCAAGACCTTAAAATTTAAGATTTTTACTTTTCAGCATACTAATGGTCATTACTAGTTAATTTGTGCAATACATACATTATTTTAAGCCCGAAAGACATGAGGTTTAGTTGGGCGCGTTACCGTATGCAATCTCTAAATCTACATGCAACTGGTGCCTAAAAACATATGGATAGTAAATGCGACGGATATATACATAAACACATTGTATTCCTTGATGGCGAGGACAGAGAAAAAAAAATGAAATCTACTTTATTAGCATTTTCTGCCATCAGTGGACACGCAGTTTTATTTACTTTTACCCTAGAAAATACAAATGTCAGGCTAAATATATGCATGATTTTATTGCACTCTTTTGTTACAGTCTCTCTTGATTCACGGCAACCAAATAATAAGGCACTGTCGACTTCTATTAAAAACATCAAATATGTCCGCAAGCCAGTGATGTTAACTAGTGATTTAACAAAAAACGTCATTATATAGTCAACAATTAATACTTTTTTTGTTAAAAGCACACGATAGTGAGTGCCTGTTGGCTATAGGCTAACTTTAAAATAATGGATTGTTTAAGTATTAACAGTGTTTATTGCTCTGACGTCTACGTCTGACACAGAAGAAGGAAAGAAATTGAACATATAACACAAAATTTGTTTAAATAAATACACATGCAAGCAAATGCTCTTATGTGTTCAGTTTTTCTTTTTAAATAAGCTTTAACACATACCATAGTTACCATTCAGGGGGAATAACTTATAACTTTTTAGGTTGCGGCCCTTGTGGGACCACAATTATTGAAGTATTTTTTTCATTCTTTTCTGTGAGCGATTTTCCCCGAGTTCCCATGTCATTAAACCGCTGGGACTCTGGGTAGTGAAACCTGTGTCCGCGGCATACAAACCTCAGGCTGTTAATGACACGGACCGTGCAGTTGCTTTGGTTACTAATTGGACCTAATGAAGGGCTATATGCCGTGTATGGCTTCGACGTTAATGATTTAGCGGTATACGGATTTGCACCATATGCAATAAAGCCAGGATCTCTCAACAAGTGTCACTGATCGATTTTGTGTTGTCTCTCAGGGTCAGCCCTTGTAAACAGTACACCTCAGTGGGTGATATCCCACCACATCCCCACTGAGGCAGTGCAGCTTTTCTTTAGTTTACTGTGTCTGTTTTACAAGATTAACAGAAAAAGTTTTAACAATAAGCTTTTATGTAATAATGCTCTAAAAAGTAGAAAATGAATTATACACTAGTATTTAAATAACTATAAAGAAAAGCGTAGTTCTCTTCATAAATATTAGTAAAGGTATCCAATAGATACTTAAGTGACTTATACTTTTCTTTATAGTTATTTTAATAGTAGTATATAATTTATTTTCTAATTTTTATTGCA